GAGAGAGAGAGAGAGAGAGAGACGGGGAAGGAGGTGGGCGACTCACCAAGGACGTCAATGACTGCTGGCTTATTACGGAAGTATCACTCTCAGGGGAGGTGTTGGTAGTCAGGGACGTTTGACTTTCATCAGACTGCTCTGACGTCACAGAGGTTATTGACGTAGCGGATGTTGTACTGTGGAGCCAAAGGCAATGGGGGTTTATAACGCAAACAGACACGAAGACTCATAATATACAAATATTCACAGACATACACACAAATCATATAACACTCGCACATGTACACACACACACACACACACACACACACACACTCTCTCTCTCTCTCTCTTTCTCTCTCTCTCTTTTTCTCACACACCCACACACCCACACACCCACACAAACACATAAAAACACACACACACGTATTACGTACACAATGAATGTATCATAACACTTCTCTAAATAATAACCGCACAATGTTGAAAGGGGCGTTAATCGACACAATAGTTCTTTAAAAAAAATATATTATATTCATTGTGTTTTGATCCTATAGCCACAAACAAACCTGCAAACAACGTTCCCTGGTAGTGCGCACTGCAAAGTAGTAGGGCTGAACAGCAGACCTGTTGCGCACGAGTTGAGCGTGCCTGTCACTCCACCACCTGGGCATATGTAGAAGTTAGCGCAGTCATTGCAGTCAGGATACCTGGGGACGTTCGGAGATCATTAGGGCATGGACTGTTGTATTATCTAGGAAAACGACAATGGCGATCTGTACAGTATTCATCTCTCTCATGGAGACATTATTGTCTTGGTCGTTTAAAACAACACTGGGTGCTGCAAAGGTCAGTTGTACTAACGCATATTCATAACAAGACAGGACATTAAATCCATGTATGGCGTGCTGAAACTTTCCATCTCTTTATGTTTTGGTAGTGTTTCGCGGCGCTCACTACAGTCTGCATAATATATTAAGTGACGTCAGTTGCCGCTAAAATTGGACTGCCGACACGTGGTGGGAGGGGCGGGTGAGAGCGTTTACATCAAACTAAGGCACAGCGATCCGTATTTTAAAAACCACGTTGGCCTACGTGTTACGTACGTATTACGTATAGCATGGAACCGGTCACAGTAAATAATTAAGAATCCGTATTCCCGTTATAATGTATTTTACCTGCAAAAGACGTACGTAATACGGAAGCAAACTACGTACCACGGAACAAGGCCTTAAACACCGTGTCATTTGTTTGACATTACCTTTGAGTCTGAACTCACTACTCTCTTTGCCGCTCATTCGATATTAAGACAGGGAGAAAATGTGCGTGTTTCCATGAAGGCGAGAGCAATTTTTGCTCAATACTTTTTGTGTGTACGTGTATTTGTTTGTATATATAAGTGTTGGTTTATAATAATAATAATAATA